GGAAAATATAATGGACAAAGAGCTCATTTACCATAGTAACCACAACCACAAAAAAAATGATCTATACCAGAAAAAATACACAGAGGAACACAATACTTTATAAATTTACTGAAATGAAAGGTTAAATATTATGAAAATGTTAATTCTCGCTATGTGTTGTGCTAAGTCGCTCAGTCGTGTCTGACTCTTTGGAACGCCATAGACTACAGCCTACTAAGGCTGTTCATGGAGGTTCTCCAGGCAAGAATACTGGAGTGAGTTGCTATGCCCTCCTCTGGGGATCTTCCCAACCCAGGGATAGAACACAGGTCTCCCACAATGCGGGCGGATTCTTTACTGTCTGAGCTACCAGGGAAGCCCAATTCTCTCTATAGTAACCTATAAATTTTACACAATTCAATTTCCAGTTCTTCTATAAACATTACAAAATGATCCTGATGTTCTTTTGGAAATATCAACATACAAAAGTACTAGGGCATTTTTGAAGACATTTATTTAAACGGGGACATTTAAATTTGAGATGATCAAACTATGTGGTACCAGTGCCAAAATGTACACAATGGGCCACAACAGAAAGTTCAGAAGGATGTTTATGATATTTAAGGATTGTGTACACAGTGAAAAATGGGATCTTGTATCAGTAGAGAAAGGAAAGGTTTCCCCATAAGTGATGTTGGGGTAATTTGGAAAATAAATTCCAAATTTATTGGAATTTGGAAAATAAATTCCAAATGAATCACAGATTTAATTGCTTAAACAAAACAATAAAAGTACACAAATAAAAGACTGGTGAAAATTCATACAAACTTGAAATCAGAAATGCAAAGATGTTTAAAAGCAGGCCAGCAAAGGCAGCAGTCATGAAGGAAAAGACAAAGTTGACTAAAAAAAAAATTTTTTTTAGTCCAAGTCATATATGGAACTTAAAAAAAATTTTTTTTAGGGGAAAAACAACTTCTTAGAAATCAATGAGTCAGCTAATCAGGGGGCAGTGAGGGCGGCTGGGGAAACAACTTAGAAATCAATGAGACAGTTAAACACCTTGTGAGAAAATTGGCCAGAGAAGACAAATAGGTAAACGAGAAAAGAATATAATCTAATGAAATCAGCTAGGGAGGGTCACACTTTCAATTAAAAAAAAGCATATCAAAACTAGCCCCGTAGTCCCCACAGTAATACCAGTGCAAAAGAGGGAGTCAGACATTCTCACACACTGCTGGCAGGAGTATAATTTGGTATCGTCTTTCTGGAAGGCAATTTGAGGCGAGATATTTACCAGCTGAGCCACCAGGGAAGCCCCATATTAAAAGTTCCCAACATGTGCATATTGCATTCTTAGTCAGGATACATTATATGTGCTGCAATAGCAAAATAACCCTGACATGCCAGTAGTGTTAAGACTTAACATTTATTCTTTATTCACACTGTAGGTTCACGCAGGTGGGGCCATGTCAAAGTGGGAGAAGGGGCGCTATCCACACAGTCACTCAAGGACCCAGGCTGATAAAAGCTCCAGGCCTGGGACGTCACCAAGGCAACAGGGAGTCTGCAGATCTGCCCGGGGCATCTCAGTGTCTGAGCCTGGACGTGTCGCATGTCACTGCTGCTCATACTTCATTGGCCATAATTAGGAACAAGACCTGAATGACTCTAGGGGCTGGGAAGTGGTGTCTCCTGTGTGCCCAGACAGACTGGGGGAGAAGACAGGGCGGGCTTGTACCACCCTTCATACTTTGAGCCAGCAAGTCCAATTTTAGAAAGTTATCCTAAGTAAGTATTCTGAGAAGTTCATGAAGATGTAAGAAGAAAGGATTTCATCATATCCTTGAGCACAACCATATAAAATTGGGAACAACCTAAGTACCAAAAGTACAACCTACACAGATGGTAAATATGATGCTGTTACACATTTACTGACATAGAAATATAGTCACAATATAGTGTTAAAAGGAAAAAAGCAAGTTAAAACAGTACAATATGTATAACATGGTTGCATCTCATGAAAAAAGTAATAAAACTTATATAGATGCATACAAAAATGTCTGAAAAGATATATGCCAAAATGTTAACAGTGGTTATAATCAGATGGTATAACAACAGGTGATTTTTTTCTTTTCACTCATCTGTAGTTTCTTCTTAAAAAAAAAAAAAAGTATATATTATTTATGTACCAAAAAGTCATGAAAAAAAAACCCAGTATTTTTGGGAGAGTCCATTTAACTACCTCACACTTATCATTAAATTCTTATATGTGATGCAAGAAATGCCTAATTGTCTGTCACACCATAAGACACTGCTCTAACAGTTTATTTAAAGTCAGGACTTTAAAAGTGGAACACAGGGTAAGAACAGTAACACACTCCCCATAGCTGGGTATCCATCAGACCTGTCAAGCATCCCATAGTCTGGACCCCACTGTGGTTTCTCTGGGCTCCTGCCAGGTGCATCAGGGATCTGTGTGGTCTAGGGGTGGGGGGCACCCCTCTTCACAAGGCTCTGTATTCGTCAAAGAGAGTAGGGCACTGTACAATTCCGCTCAAAAGAAAAGACTCACAAGCTCTTCTTCTCAAAGATGGATATCAGAATATGTAACATCACCACCAGGATTACTGAAGACTCCTCTTAGCTACACATATATTTTATCATTGAGAATCCTTCCTTGTTTCTCCTTCATCTCCCTGCTGCTTCCTCCCCCAACACATTCACCACCACCCCTCCCGCAACAGACACTCTCCAAAGTTCACTAGACCATTTCACTCAGCTGCCAGATTCTTACCATAATCACCTTCTTCCTGGCTGGTGTTTAAAAACGAACTGGGAAACCCATATTCTTGAGATAGATGTATGCAAAAGAGACGTAACACAACACACGTTTCTATATAGGATTCCCCTCTCCATGCCGTCCGTCACACTCACCATCCCCAGAATATATATTTCTTTTGGAGAAAACCATGCAATCAGAAATCAGGGTCCTTTTCAACCATGCACATCATTTAAAAATCTATATGGACGTTGATTTGCAGGCTGCTAGTTTACATTGTCAGTGCTTTAACACCCAGTGACGTTTCAAGTGAATAAAAGAATCATCATAGCTTTTAGAAGGACAAATGACCAAAATAGCCACTTTCAGTGGTGAAGAGAGTGCGGTGGCTAGCTCTGTCTTAAAGGGCACCCTCTGACTTAAGAGGGCAGCCTCCATCGAGTGCCTCTGCTAAGTTCCACCTCGGCTGCCTGCCTGCCTGCCTTCTAAAGGTGCACCTGGCCACACCAGATGTCCCACAACAAGGTCCCTGGCATGGTCTGTGGTTGGCTCTGGCTTTCACTGAGAGTGGCCCCTGATTTCTTTGGAAAAGCAGTCTTTCCTACAGAAAAGGAGTCTTTTCACAATGGGCAATAGTGACACCTCTGGACAGCACATTAACTATATCCCCCCCTTTGCTCGATGTTTTATGTCAGATGCAGTACCCACTGGTCAGACATCAGCCAACCACCCTCCAGGCTGTGCCTGTGGGCTGCCAAGCCTAGAGAAGTCCCCAAGGAGCCTGCAGGATGGAGACCAACAGCCCGGATAGCAGACAGTCTTCCCGGGGGCTGGTCAGGTCCTACTCAACCTGTTCTAACTACTGGCCCACCTGCTCCCTCCCTGGTGCTGGCTCCAGTCTGGGAAGGGGGTGGGCAGTGATGGCCATTCCCCCAACTGCTCCCATCCCTGAACCAGCATTCTGTTTACTGCTCTGTAAACATCTTGGGGCCTCCTGCTTGTTTTGAACAAACAGCTCCGTCTCCATGAAAGCCATTGATGAAAGACTCAAAGCGTTTGCATCTCATCACTCTTGCCTCTCAGAGCACCCACATCATTTTAAACAATGATTTCTTAAAAAGATCCCTGCAAAGACAGAATCATTCAAAAGGGGACTCACTGCTGTAATGAACACAAATGTAATTCTGATTTTGCTCATTTGTAAGTCATCACTTGCTGTGGACATGTGTAGGAAGACACAGGACCAGGGTCTCCAGGAGACCCAGATGCCACCCAAGCCGTTGCTCACTCACTAGCTGGTTGACCCTGGGGGAGTCGCTTGTCTCTGCTTCCTCTGCAAAATGGGGAAAGATCTGTGCCATGTTCTCTCACCCAACCATGATCCAGAGTAACAGCCTACAAGGGAGTGTGGAACAGAGGGGGCACCCAAGTTCCGGGTCTCGGGTAGACACTCACCCTCTTTCCAGGCCTGATCACGCTGTCCTGGTCTCTCACTCGGGTGGTTTTCTGTTCCCTGCGCACTAGGAAGATTTCACCTCCCCTCCTCACCCTCCACTGGACCACATACCCAGTGGGTCTTTACTTGAAACGAAAATTATTTTTAAGGATCATTATGGTTGAAGGCTTCTAAATTTTACTTCGCTTGTTTTAGTCCCGGGTTTTACAGATGCAGAAAGAAAAAAAGAAAGCACATTAGGATTTAGGCAGCCAGTCTTGGAAATGTCAAATCAGGAGACACCACTCAGGACAAAGATGCAGCCCTGGCTATAAACCCTCCAGCAGCACAACGTGGCCGAGGTGCCTGCGGGGGTAGGGGTGGGGGTGGCGTTTATGCCCTGCCTGCGTTTGGCTTAAGATTGAGACAACCGAAGGGTGTGAGTGCCGAGAGGGGAGCTGGACTTCCTAATAAACAAGGGCCCAGTTAACTGGCTCACAGGGAACTGCAACAAATTCGGTGGGTCATTATCATGACATTCAGAGGCTGTTGCATAGGGCCAGGCACTCGACAGACTGCTGAGGTTGTCCTGGGCCTGTTTTTTCCTTTTAAAAAGAGCAAATGAAGAACCATTAAGATTTTCAAAGAAAAGCAGAAGGAACTGAGAGTCCATGGTTTCTGCCCCTGCTGAGCCCATGTCAGCTTCCTCGTGAGAGGCGCCTCTCCTGGGCTGCATGGTGTAGAGCCAGCTGGGCCCACCCCATGGGGGCTCGCAACTCCTCACCTAGACCTGCCAGCACTCACTCAGCTCTTTAGCTGTCGGCAAACAGGCGTCAGGGGTCTCAACCACACAGGGATAAAAGCAGCCCACCATGCTCAGGGCCCTGCTGCTCTGGAACATGCTGGTGGCTCAGACAATTCTGTCCTCTAATGAATACGTCCCCTGAGTATATTCAGGGTAGTCAGGATGGCTTCTTCTAGATGAATAAACCGCCTCACAGACAGAGGTGGTGGGTGTCAGATGACCCAAGCTGAGGTTTCGGAATCCTGGTGTCCGCTGCTCCTGGACAGCAAACTCGCCCCACCTTCTGACAGGTGGACTCACCTGACCTGAGAAGAACACCCTTTAGCCCAATGCTGGACCACAGGGCTGACCCAGGACCAGTCTAGCTCTCCAGGTCGCCATTGCCCTGAGAGCTGTCTGGAGCACCAGGGAGGGGGGTGGCCAGCAGCCCTACCGCCCATCAGGAGGGCTGCCTCCGGCCCAGTGGACCTCACCAAAGCCGCCCACTCTGCTTGCAGGTCTCCCTGGCATGGCCCAGTGCCCCAGACCACCAGCCTCCTGTCTTTCCCCATCCCAAACCAGACCTCCTCGCTCTGGGAGATGTTTCAGTGACACGAAGAACAGTAGGACATGGCAGTCACATCCTCATGTCCCCTGCCCACCTCCTCAGGCTATTGTATTGCTTATCTACATTCAGCAGGGATAAATTCTAACATGTGAGAAAACCTTTCTAGAGGGAGAAGTTCTCACAGCGGTTCTCAGAGCAGGTATGGAGGCACTAAAGCCTCCCCCTTCATCAAAGGCATTTAGAAATGCCTATAGCCAGGGAAATTCAGACAATTGTGTCTTGCACAGGGCAAATGAGACACCCACTTACTTGCTCCACTAAGAAACTCAGTGAGAGAGGAGAGGCTTATGGCTCTGGTCCCTTCCTTCCCAGGAACAGATGGACGCAGGAAGCAGACTTTGGCAGAACTCCTCTAAGGCCGAGGCTTGGTCACTTCGAGCCCACTCTCCCTCATGGGCCTGTGTGATCCTATGTGATTTCTTTTTCAATTATCTAAACCCAACAGAGGATCCTATCCTAAATCCCAAGCCCTGGACAGCCCCTCTACCAGGGACAGTCGGCAGTCCTGGAATCCCCAGCCCTCACGCTTGGAGAGGAAGAGTGGTTGCAGTGTTAGAGGTGCCCCCCACCCCTACCCCGACAGAGAACCAGGATGGACTCCTGTGGGGTTGGGGGTTGGGGCTCAGACCATTTCCTGCTGCTTCCACCGCTACCTGCCTGGCCCCAGGGCCAGCTGAGCCAATCCACGAGTCTGCTCACAAAGTCACATTCATGGCTGATAAAGAATGACCCAGTGCACCAGGACGGGAGACTTTCCAACAGGGGCTTTGGCAGGAGGGGGGTGGGCATTGATTAAAACACTAAATTCTGTGTATACGTTTAATTGAACAAATATTTATTAAGCACCTACTTTGTGCTAGGCACCCTCACTGTGTGCTGTTCCCACAGCACAGTATCCTGTTCAGAAATTAAAACCAAGAAAAGGAACGTTGTTGCAACCTTATAAACTGGAGGGCCGGTGGAAGTGGGCTGAGTGGATGTAGGTGATTTCCCAGCCAGGAAACAACCCCACGAGACACATGTCTCCTCTCAGGACAAGTATCTACTAAGTCATTGTTTGAAAGCATCTCTATATATGCTGAGAGGGAAGTTACTATGGCCACGCCCCATGCACTGGAGCCTGGTGGACATTCGAATACTCCGAACTCTACTCAAAAAGACAAAACAAACCAAAAAAAAAAAAAAAAATACCCTCATGGGACTTAATCNGGAGCTGCAACTAGTGAAGCCCCCCTGCTCCGCAGCAAGAGAAGCCACTGCAGTGAGGGGCCCACGCACCACAACAAAGTGTAGCCCCTGCTCGCGACAGCTAGAGAAAGCCCCAGCACAATAATGAAGACCCAGCGCAGCCAAAAACAAACACATAATTTTTTTAAAAAAAGAGGAGACAGAAAGAAGGGTCTGGGAACAAAGCAGGAGGAGCCCACTGAGACCTGTGATAGTCAGTCAGTCAGTCCCCGCAGGTGGGCCTGCCTCTCTGGAGGTGTCAAGTGCACCCCCCCCCAATCCTGGACATCAGATGTGTGCCCCTCCTTCCTGCTGTTTGCCAGCAGAGATCTCATCTTAAAACGATGCCCACAGAGAACACAGAACTCGGAGTTCTGCCCAAAGCAGCCCGGTGCCAAGCGATGCTTTCCTCAAGTGCCTGGCAGAGGAAATCTGACATCCTAGCCTGTGGGGTTTTCAGCCCCAGGCCCAGGGTTGTTGGCAGGGCCCCCTTTGGGGTCCATTCTGGGGGAGAGACAGCATGAATGGGAGAGTGACTTGTCTCCACTGAGAAGGTGAGGCCTCCTTGGCCCCAGGCCAGCCTCTGGCCGTCCGTGAGGGAGGACTGGCCGTGCCAGACGCAGGGATGGTGGGTCTGTGCACCGTCTGTCCCGTGGTGTTGCCATGGAGACATTCAAGCTTCCAATGGCGGGACTGCTGTGAGTCCTTACGGGAGCATTCTTCATAGCAAACAAGAACTTCCATCTTGTGGGGATAAAAAGAGGCCTTCTAAATATGTGTTACAGGAACCAGTTACTAATACTGAGGCTGTGTACCTGAACAAAGTGCTCTAGAAGTGAGGAGACCCTCGGAGGTGAGAGAGGGCCTGAAAACACTCCTTCTGTGGATCAGAAATCTGAGGCCAGGAAGGGGCGGCCTGCCCAAGGTCATATCCAAGGTCACTGGCTGGGGCAGTGGAACAGTCCCTGGTCTGAGGCCCTCCCTTAGCCCTCCCTCTGTCCCCTGCTCCTTCCTGGCCCTTCTGTGGGTCTGCAGGGACTTCTGCCGGCAGGAAAAGCCACCTGCACTATAGTTTCGCACGAAAGCTTTGTGAAAGTGGAAAAACAAAAGGCAGACCGGCTGAGTCTTCCGCTGGGGGCAGAGCAGGCATCCAGCAAGCAGTTACGCTGGCTGTTTAGGAATCCGAAGTCACTCTTCTTCACCAAGTGAGGCGAGAATGGGAGAAGCCTCAGAGAAATGGGTAACATGACGGATGCCTTCGAATCTGAGTCAGAGTGCATGTGCTCCCTGCTCTTACCTCTAACTTCTCAGAGACGTATTCACACTCTGACATGAGCTGAGGTATGATTTCACTCTGTTTTCGGAGGTCTGTCAACTCCTACGGGAGACAGAAGTTTGAAGAAGAATGTGAGAACATGTCAGACAAAATGTACTCTTGAAAATCCCTAAATGTGTACGTACAGTCATGGAAGTGCCTTTTGGAACCTGTGTTGTCCGTGTAAATGATGGTGATGATGTTATACCTAAAACACATCAGGTAATTCTAAAGGCTGAGTATGTCCTGTGAATTAAAGCATGAAGCCTGCATGCCACCATGAAAAGAGAAGTAAGATTCCTGTTTTTGTAGGGAAAGTGAGGCTGAGAGAGGACTGGTAACTTGCCCACAGTCTCCAGCCTCTGTGGACAGTGAGTCCCCTCCATACGAACCTTCGAGTTGCAAACTTACAAAGATGAGAACGTTCATTCGCATGTCTAGTTGCATAAATTAGTTCATGTGCTTGGTGTACACTGTCACATGAAAGCATCCTCTACACATGGTTGAGCTTTTGTGTACTTTACCACACAGGACTGTATGGAGGACAGTAGTATAGTATCTTTATTTCAAGTCCAGGATGTCCAGAAGCAAGTGTAAAAGCAGTGGTGAGGTAGCTGACACTACTGTACTTTTCAAGGTACTAAACTGCAAGATTAAAGATGTTTTATTTTTGGGGTTTGCCTTTTATGTATTATTTGTGTGAAAAGTATGATAAACCTATTACAGCACAGTACTACATAGCCGATTGTGTTAGTTGGTTACCAAGGCTAACTTTGTTGGACTTAGGAACAAACTGGACTTTTGAACAGGCTCTCGGAATGGGATTCGTTCGGACAGAGGGGAGTCACTCTGTCCTGTCCCCCAGGAGATAAATGACTGTGTGACTGGGGGTTCTTGCTGTGTTAATTTGACAGCAGAACTCAACTTCTGATGAGGGACCATCTATGAAAGTTTCCAAGAGCGTTTGAAAATGTCCAACTCCTCTGGGATCTGAGAGCCTGACTATATGTAATAAACACAAGGAGGCTGCACAGGGTAATGGTCAGGCCTTTGCTCTGGGCTCTTTGTGCCTTGGTGTGGCTCCTGGCTCGGTCTCTGTGCTGCTGTCTGGGCAGCTGCCAGGGCCGATCACACGTCCCACGGCCACATGCTGTGTCCCTGGGTGATCACCTGCCGAGGCCCAGGGGACATGAGCAGCATGGCTCAGAGCTCTGCCACTCACCATCTCCTTTTCTCGGAGTTCTGATTCTAGCTCCTCAATCCTTCTCTTCAACTGGGTATTCTGCTCCTTCTCTCTGTTGATCTCGCTGCACTGTTCTTCCAGCTCGTCAATCTTTAATAATAAATATCACATGTTAAAAGCAGGGGTGCCAGTTCTGTTGCATCTCCAGAGCTGAAGTCAGCAGGGTAGAGAACCGAGCAGCTCTGCGGGACTCAATGACATTTCCAATGCTTTTAAATCAAGATGACCTTTCCCCACTGATGCACGCAGAAGGGGCCTGGCCTGTGGGCCTCTTCCTGGACAGATGACAGTTGCTGGCTGAACTGGCACATCCTCAGAGTGCCTCTTTCTCTCCTTCTCCAGCTTGACCCCCCGGAAGGGATGTACAGGCCTGACAACCTTGACATTGCTGTCTGATGCTGGGCAATTCCCAGGGGCCAGAGTGGATGGCAGGAGTGGAACCAAGTAACACAAAAGTGCCAGGTCAGTGGGGTCCCCGCTAGTGGGCAGTGGCAGTCCTCAGGGTGAAGGGCACTGGGTGGTCACCTTGAGGACCGTTCTCAGAGATGACTGCAGCAACCCTCAGGATCTCACCCCCAGCCTTGGGGGCTGTCGGAGGTCCCCCAACATCCATACCCCAACCTGGAAGTCAAGTTCCCAGGGCTTCCCATGCAGCGAGCAAGCTACACAGCAGGCACTTCCTCCACACACCATCCCCCCACCCCCCAACATGGCCCTTTGGTTCTTACACTCAGACGTGAAGCAAGAAAACTCAGCTCTTGGCTTGGGAAAAGAGGGCGATCGATCCCTCTGGCAGGCAGATGAGCCCAGCCCAGGAGGGAAGGTGCAGAGTCAGCACTCGGCCTGCGCCCCTCACCATCAGCACTTTGTGAAAAAAGGACACGAGGCACTTTCACGTGCCATCTGTACTAAGAGAGACATGGAAGGCAAGCGGTCTCCAGGGGATCCGCCCAGAACAGGGTGGGGGGTTACAAACGGGGTGAGGGGGGCCAGTCCCCATCTCAATGTGGTGCAGACCCTGAAATCTGCAAAGCAGACCATGGTCACCAACTGTGGGGAAAGTGCTGACCAGCAAAACAGCATGGCAACCCTGGGACCTTAACTGGGGGCCCCCAAACCTCCACATCAATTCAGCCCAACATCAGAGTGTGAGGGACTGATTACAGAGAAGGGCAAGGGTAAATTCTGAAAAAAAGTCAAGATGCTCGGATGTCAAGGTAGGAGGGTGGAGGGCACATGAGGGCAGTGGGCACCCCGTCCCCATCTCACACTTCCTGTCCTGGCTTCCTAATTCATGTTTTCAGAAATAGTGGTCTGCACAGAAGCAGGGTTTCTGAGCAATCACACCCCACCATTTCCTCAGTCTGTTTTCTTCTCTCACCCTCTGGAAGGTCACTGAACCAACAGAGAATAGCAAAAGGAGGCTGCCCACGAAAGGCCAACCTGCAGTGCACGTGGGACGGTGCTCTTTGAGAGACAAAGCTGCTGTCTCCCATTGATTCCTCTTCCCCTTGGCAACACAAACGATGAGACTTGGTTCAATAGAAGGATTAAGTCACTTCTGTGCGTGGCTACACTCCCCTTATGAAAGCAGGCAGGAGGTGGAGGGAGGGGGGGATGGAGTGGAAGGAAGGCCCCAGCTGCCCCATCCCATGCCTGCCTCCCACTCCCTGTGGGTTGGGGCCTCAGCTGAGCCCACCTTGTTCCGGAGCCGGTCGTTCTCATCTCGGCACAGTGAGAACTGGCGCTTCCACTGCTCCACGCTGGCCGCCGACTCCTGCAGCGCCGAGGTCAGCCGCGCGTTGCTTTCTCTCAGGGTCTGCAGCTCAATCTCCCACTTCTTCACGTTGGCAGCACTGTGGGGCAGGGGCCAGGCAGTGACGGGGGTGGTAGGTGCCATCCACTCCACTGCCAGCCACCCCCTCAGCCCAGCCCTCAAGGCCACATCCTCTCCCTCCGTGGCCTGGCCACAAGGACCACAGGTCCCGCAGGCCTAGCGCTTCTCTTTAGTGGGAACATATCTGCCCCACTAAAGGGGCACTAATTTGCCCTGCTGGGTGATTTTTCTCAAGGCATCACTTCAGAAAGGACAGAATTCTCAGAGAAGGAAGAGATGAAACTAAGAATGAACTGACCCATAAAAAAGAACGAAATCATGCCATTGGCAGCAATATGGATGCAACTAGAGATTCTCATGCTAAGTGAAGTAAGTCAGAAAAAGAAAGACAAATATCATATGACATCACTTATATGTGGAATCTAAACTATGACACAAATGAACCTATCTCCAAAACAGAAACAGACTCACAGATGTAGATAGCAGACTTGTGATTGTCAGGGGGAGGGGGCTGGGGGAGAGATGGATTGAGAGTGTGGGGTTAGTAAGATGCAAACTATTACATACAGAATGGATAGACAACAAGGTCCACCTATATAGCACAGGGAACTCTGGAGAGAAGGGAACCCTTGAACTATATTCAACATCCTGGGATAAACCACAATAGAAAAGAATATTAAAAACTATGAATGAAGCCACACACTGTGGTAGAGACCCCCCCTGCCTGCTCCCTACTGACTCCAGGCCACAGGAGGGGTCCCTCTTGCCCCATGTCTAGCTCCTTCCTGAAATGAGCCTCAGGGATAAAGGTTCTGAAGTGCTGGGGTGGAGCCCAGGCCCCCTGAGACTCTCGTGAAAGCTGTGGATCTTCCCAACAAGCTCCTGACGCCCCGCTCTCTGGAGCCCAACAACCCCAGGCTTAAACAGACAGCCTGGATCCAGCTTTGACAGCTGAGGACCACAGGACAGAGGAGGCAGGGCTGGGACTCCCCTGCGGGGTTCCAACCACAATGTGTGTGAGGGAGTCCTGGCCAACCCCATGTCACCTCAGGCCTGAGGGATGCCTCCATGTTATCACCAAACCACATGATAATCTCTGATCCTCCGTGATGAGGGAAGTTTTCAAAAACAAACTGCAGTTAGGTTCCCCTCAAGCTGCTGTTCCCATTCAACACTTCCCTTTGTTTACTTGCTCTGGAGCCCAATGTTCACTGAAGCACTATTTACAATAGCCAGGACATGGAAGTGACCTAAATGTCCACCAACGGAGGGATGGATAAAAACGACATGACACATACATGCAATGGAATGCTACTCAGCCATAAGAAGGAGCAAAATAGTGCCATTTGCAGGAATGTGGAGGGACCTAGAGTCTGTCATACAGAGTGAAATAAGTCAGAAAGAGAAAAACAAGTATCTCATAATATCACTTATTCATGGAATCTAGAAAGATGGTAGAGGTGAACTTATTTGCAGAGTAGAAACAAAGTCACAGATGCAGAGAGCAAACATATGGACACCAAGTGAGGAAGTTGGGAGTGGGATGGATTGGGAGATTGGGACATATACACACTACTATGTATAAAATAGGTAACTAATGAGAACCTTCTGTACAGCTACTGTGACCTAGATGGGAAGGAAATCTAAAAAGGAAGGGTAGAACTGATTCACTTTGCTGTACAGTAGAAATTACCACAATGTTGTAAAGCAATTATGTGCTTAGTCGCTCAGTTGCGTCTTACTCTTTGTAACCCTATGGACTGTAACCCACCAGGCTCCTCTGTCTATGGGGGTTCTCCAGGCAAGAATACTGGAGTGGGTTGCCATGCCCTCCTCCAGGGGATCTTCTCAACGCAGGGATCGAATATGCCAATAAAAACTAATTTTTAAAAAACCCAACACATCAGACTTAGCCACTAAGAAAAAAAAAAGTTCCTGGCTTCTAAGCTATACTGCCTGGCTAAGGAAAGTTCTCTATCTAAAGTCTTCTTTAAAAAAATTTTTTTTAAGTAAATACAACTGTATTTTAATAATCTGCATTATCTTTCATTCACCTCAAGGTCCTAGGAATGTGACTGGAAAATAGGTACTTTTGGTTTCAAACACCACAGACTGAAAACACAGCAGATACTATCATGTGATTAATTTCAGAGTTGATGAGCGAGAATCTGACCTGATTTAGGGAAATGACTTCACACTCATTCCTGTAATTCACTTGTCCATTAAACTGGAATTATAAAAAAACATTTATTTTTAGGGGTGAAACGTTTTCAACCAGGCAGTCCACTGTGACTTAAACAACCAAAAACAGTCTTCACGACTGCCTGATGATTAAGAGAGATTGGTCACAGTTTTGTCCTCTGAAGCACCTGATAAAACCCACAATCCAAAGCAGGTGCTGGATCTGTGGATCTCACATTCCTTCTGGAATTCCTAGGTCAGATCATGGGAACTGAGTTCCAAGCACCGGACAGACCACTGGGTGGCAGAAGCGGGTGCTAACCCATTGGCTCCAGCTGTGGAGCACGACTGGCTGCCCCGGGAGGATTCCTGAAGGTTCCTGCCTTGAGTATAGACAGGCAGTGTGGGACGGTGGAGAATCTACCAGCCGTGTGACCTTGGGCAAGGACTGGCTGTACCATTTGGGCCTCGGTTTCCTTATCTGTGTAGAATGGAGGGATTAATATGACAGAGCTCTTACACAGGGCAGCTCTGAAGAACGCAGCCACAGGGGGGCTGGGGGAGCTGGCAGAGTTCCCTGCCAAGTGAACAGAATGACCCCAAAGACAGTGACCCTGAGGATGCTCATGGGGCCAGCCCACACGATGAGGTCCAGCCTGGCTTTGGGAAAGGGGCCACATTCTAGAGATACGAAAACACAAGCATGGCTACTGTAGTCACTGAAAATTAAAATCTTGCTGATATCATTATGGGGACTGCATTAACTTTATATATCAATTTAAGGGAAATTGATACTTTTTAAAAAATATTAAGGCTTCCTACTCCTTTCCAATAGACTTTTTTTCCATTTGTTAAATTATTCATGTATGGTCCTCAAAATTATTTGAGTTTTCTTCACAAAGATCCTGTACATTTTATAAGTTTATTCCTAGGTATTTTATGGTTCATATTATATTTAATAATTCATACTATAAAGGAAGGGCTTCCCAGGTAGCTCTAGTAGTAAAGAACCCCTCTGCCAATGCAGGAGACGTAAGAGATTTGGGTTTGATCCCTGGGTCAGGGAAGATCCCCTGGAGGAGGAAATGGCAACCCACCTCAGTATTTTTGCCAGGAGAATCCTAGAGACAGAGCAGCCTGGCGGACTACAGTCCATGAAGTCACAATGTTGGACACGACTGAAGAGACTTAGCGTATAGGCATTATAAAGGAAATCTCTTCTTCAAATATATAGTCTATGTGATGTTTGCATATAGAAAAGTTACTGATTTTTGTGAGACTTTATATTATTTTAAAGATAGTCTCTTAAGGTTTTTATATGTTTCTCTTGGATGTTCAAGACAGTCTATTATATACAAATAAATGATAAATTTGGCTTCTCAAGAAACAAAACAAAGTGAAACATAAGCACAGGGACCCCCCTGGCAGTCCAGTGGTTAGAACTCCACACTTGCATTGCAGAGGCCCAGGTTCAATCCCTGCTTGGGGAACTAAGATCCCACATGCTATGCAGTACAGTTGAAGAAAAAAAAAAGCATAGGGTCACATTTCTCTTTCACACACACACACACACACACACACACAGATGCTGATGTGGACAGGGAACGGCCACGTAGGCAGCTGGTCTTCCTCTGGCCAGCAGACAAGACCGGCTATTCTGAGCAGAAGCCAGTCTCCTCCCCCAGGTTCCTGAAGCCCTGCCCAGTGGGAGAGGCTGCAGGGGAGTGCTGACTCTGGAGACGACAGCGCCTGGATCTGCACATGCTCACCTCTGGGTCAGAGCGATCTTCAGCTTGTCATTCTCGGACTTGAGGTGTGTATCGGCAGGACCCGCACAAGAGGCCTTCTCATCGTCTGTCCCATTGATGCTGGATGCCTGAGTGGAAGATGGGGTTACCTTTGCACCTTATCACTTGTCCTGACAGTGGCAGGAGCTGAGTGTTTATGAGTGTGGGAGACACAACGCCTCCAACCAGAACGCACAACACAAAGACTAATAACAAGACTGGCCCTGGAAAAGTTCACATAGAGTCCAGAAAGTCTGTGTGTTTTATTCACAAGACAGCATCTGGGGCTGTTAGGCAGAAACTTTTTAAATCAAACTTTACAGGTAAACCTACAAGTCAGGATACCTGGTCTCCTTAAATAACACAGGACAGAAGCCACAGATTAAAAAGGCAGTGGGGGTGGGGGTGGTTATAATAAGAAACAGTGACTGAGTTTGGAGAAGGAATGGCAACCCACTCCAATATTCTTGCCTGGGAAATCCCATGGACAGAGAAGCCTGGCGGTCTATGTCCATGGGGTCACAAAGGAGTCGGACACGACTTAGCGACCAAATGACAAGAAGAAGCTGAGATAACTTTTTATCCCAAGGCTACAGAAACATCATTAAAAAAAAACTGCCAAGAATCAGATATGGGTGTCTGCTGTCTCCATTACTATTAGCATTGTTATGAATATTCTATAATGCTTTCTGTAATAAGACATACCACCTGGAGGTCAATCTCATCTGGTCTTGGATAAGGTCTTAGAAAGACATTATTTAGTCTCCAAGAAGCATAACAGCAAAGGGAGGAACCATGAAGGGAATGAATTTCTGGGTAAACTTCTGCATCACAAAAAAATGCCAAAAACTATATCAGAATGTAAACAACAATGTGGGGGAAATATTTGAAGTGGATATGAAAAACAAAATGCCAATACTTATATTTAAAATAAACTCTTGGAGTTCCCAGCTCTTAGAGCTACACTCTGAAATATTTGTGGGTGAAATTGTGTCTGGGATTGGCTTTAAAACAAAGGTGGAGGGAGAGGGTGGGTGTAGATGAAATGTGAAGTGAAGTGAAAGTTGCTCGCTCAGTCGTGTCCAACTTTTTGTGACCCCCATGGACTGTACAGTCCATGGAATGCTCCAGGCCATAATACTGGAGTGGGTAGCCTTTCCCTTCTCCAGGGGATCTTCCTAACCCAGGGATCAAACCCGGGTCTCTCACATTGCAGGTAGATTATTTACCAGCTGAGCCACAATGATTGGTCATAAATTCCTAGTTGTTAAAACTGATCTATGGGCCCATGGGGTTCAGTTACATAATTTTGCCTAGTATTGTACAGGTTCAAAACTATCCATGCTAAAAAATAAAGTTCTTGGAAATGAACATAAAAAAGGGAAAGGATATGCAATTGACATTTACAGTAGAAGATATACAGACTCAGTAAACAAAAAAATTTAATCTTACTAGTAAAGAAATGCAAAATGAAAAAAAAACAATAAAATACATTTTTCTTCTGTCAAATCAACAAAGCTCTGTGGGTGAGGGTGTGGGAGGAAAAACTGCTCTCACTCACTCCTGGTGGGAGTCAGAATTGTACATTTCTGCAGGGATGTTTGCAGTATGCGTCAAAAGCTCACAAAACCTCCTACCCTTAGTTCAATAGTTCCATTTCAAGAATTTATCCTGCAGTATAAGTATAACTGAATCACTTTGTTGTAGACCTGAAACTAACACAGCTTTGTTGTCAACTATATTGATGCTAAAGCTCCAATCCTTTGGCTACCTGATGCAAAGAGCTGACTCACTGGAAAAGACCCTGATGCTGGGAAAGACTGAAGGTGGGAGAAGGGGACAACAGAGGATGAGGTGGTTGGATGGCATCACTGATGTGATGGACCTGAGTTTGAATAGGCTCCAGGAGTTGGTGATGGACAGGGAAGTCTGTGTGCTGTAGTCCATGGGGTCACAAAGAGTCAGACACACCTGAGGGACTGAACTGAACTGAACTGAATGACACTCCAATATAAAATGAAAAGTTAAAAAAAATTTATCCTGCAGAAACCATCAAATGCACAAAAAGTACACAAGAACGGCTTATCACAGTGTTATTTATATTAATGAAAAACCAGAAATAACATAGATGTCCCAAATTACAGGAGTTTGGTGGAATAAGTTGTGATATAAACAAACACTGGAATACAATCTAGACATTAAAATAGTTTTGAAAAGTGATAATTGAAAACACAAGGAAATGATTATAACAAACATAAGTTTAAAACATTAAAAAAATGTCTTCGGTAAGAATATAGGTAATTTTTATTCCCTCCTTTATAGTATGGCATATTTTAAATTTCTGCAATAAATATGTATTGCTTTTACATTCAGAAAAACACATTAAAAGTTTTTGTAGTTAGGTTGTTTAAAATCTTCAAGTATTTAGAAAACTTGGCCAAAGTGCTCATTCTCTAAGAAATTCAAAAAACCAAGCAACTGTGTGATTTGTAATAAAAAGAAAAATGGACAATGATCTCCATATCTGGGAAAACATCAGCAAGGGTAAGTAAAAGCTAAAGCTTAGAAAAGCCATTTATATTTAATTAATATGTATCTATATAATAACATCTTCTCTGTACATTTGACTTTTTTAGGTTTAAAATACTTCAGGGACGAAAATAAACATTAAAGCAAAAACCTTATATAAAGAAATTCAGATATTAAAGATATCACTATACCATGACATTTAGAAAAAGATGGTATATTAGAAACTTTGTATCTTAAGTTATTGCTTATATGTAGAATTTAAGGTAATAGTGCAAATGAACCTATTTGCAAAACAGAAGTTGAGTCACAGAGGTGGAAAACACACTTGTGGTTACCAGGGGGAGAAGGGGTGGTGGGGGATAAATTAGGAGATTGGGACTGACATATAGACACTAGTATATATAGAATAAATAGCTAGTAAGAACATAATGCAGGAGACCCCAGTTCGATTCTTGGGTCAGTAAGATCCCCTGGCGAAGGGATACGTTTACCACTCCAGTATTCTTGGGCTGCCCTTGTGGCTCAGCTGGTAAAGAATCCGCCTGCAATGTGGGAGATATAGGTTCAATCCCTGGGTTTGAGAGATCCCCTGGAGAAGGGAAAGGCTACCTACTCCAGTATTCTGGCCTGGAGAATTCCATGGATTGTATAGTCCATGAGGTCGCAATGAGTCAGACATGATTGAGCGACTTTCACAAGAACCTACTGAATAGCACAGGCAATTCTATTCAGTTCTCTGTAAAGAATCTAACTCTGTGTGTGTGTGTGTGTGTGTGTGTGTGTATGTATACACAACTAAATCACTTCGCTATACAGCAGAAAGTAATACAACATTGTAAATCAATTATATTTCAATAAAAAAATAATTAAAAGATAGATTTTCCTCTATCTAATGAAATAAAATTTAGCATTCTAAAAAAAAAAAGAAACTCCTCAGACTATGGACCACTTCAAGTGCCCAATTTTAGAGTTCCTCAGATATTACTCAGTACAGACATTAGTATGCTAAATCAACAGTATCATTTAGATGATATTACAGATTGTTTATAAAGATTCAGGAAAGTTCCTGTCCACTTGGAGTCTAACACACATTCATTTCCATAAGTCCACAGGGACATCTTTTATATGATCCAGGTTCGGCTATGGCCGATGACCAAGCCTAGGGTGTTGACCTTGACCACTCAGGATGCCCGTGCCTCCAGGTTCTCTTCCAGGAGGCAGGTTCTCATCTCTGCCCCAGAATCCATCCATGGCCATCCCGGCATGGCCATTCTCCATCCCACAGCCTCCTCGCCAGTCTTCCTGCCCTCGGCTGCTCCCTGACTTCCTCACCACCCACCTGCAACCATTGTGTCAATTCCTGATCAGTGGCCATAAAACACCTCAGGTGTCTTCTCACTATCCAATAGTACAAAATTAGGTAGGAAGGGATCCAGTAATGAAGAAGTTTGGGTCCTTTACGGTCCCTCCAAGTGCGTCCCTGGTCCTCTCACCGCACTCTTCTCCCCCAGGCCGGTAGACTCCTGGCTTTCACTTACATCATGTTTATTCCTAACCCCAGATGCTTGCTCCTCATGTCTCTCTTGCCCTGTCTCTCTACACATAACTCTGTCACAAGGTCAAGGCTTCTGCCTAATACTGCATACCCCACCCTAGACATCAGGAAGGCAGACAGTTTTATTTCAGGTTAAGATAGGTCCCTTTTAGTCAGTGATCACACTTTTAAGTAGACAGATGACTCAGTTCCTGGCAAAGCCACATTTTCGTTGACTAAACTAGAGCTGTTGAAATACCACCTCCCACCCGACTTTTGTTATAATAGGGAAACAGACAGGGAGCCTCTGGCATCGACCAAGTTTTCTCTGTCACAGGCACAGGTAGCTGCATTGGTCCATGAGCATGCTTCATGAAGACCTCCCTTCCCAACACAGAAAGAAAACACGTCCTCTTGGCATTGGTATTTAAACAGTGACCAGAGAGAATTCCAGATGAGAGACATGTATTAACTCTCATCTCATCAAATGTTTTCCATCCAAAATGTATCACCACATCTTGAAAAATTCAAGTCTCATAAAAACATTTCACATCTTTCTCACTGTTAACAGGCTAATAGTTGAAAAGCCTTCGAAATGCCCTACTGTGAAAATTTGCTCTTTCCTGTCAAAAGTGACAAGGAACAAAGTCCCAATCACTGATCACGCTCATTTATTTTACGGGCAAATTACTTACTTGGGAATGATTGCTCGAAGTCTCAATTTTCTCCTGGGATTTGTCTCTGGCTAGTCTGGCAGCTTCTTTCACTTCCTGGAATTTCTCTGCAAACTGAGCATGAAGAAGAATTATTAGAGGTATCCTTAACCTTATACATGGCTGATATTCAGAACCCACCTTTATTATTTTGCATTCATTTGAAGTCAATAAATTCTGTATAAATCCAGGAGAGAGATTTTATTTGAGATTTAAAAGAAGTGAATATCAGAAATGCTTTTTCCTGAACAACAACAAAAAACAACAAAGCCACAGTCAGATCTAAAAGAGTTTTTAAGATACTGAAGCAAGATTTGATAGTGAAATATTAAAAACACACACCTCTGGTTAACAGTACCTAATACAAATGCAACGAAAGAAATTTAGCTATAGCACAAAAGGAATCCCCCCAAAACTTCATAATCTCTCATGAAAGATCCAAGAACTCTTCCAAGTCAATGGCATGAATAACAAAAACATCCAAAAAGCTGGGGGGAAGGAACTTTCTAGATTTTAAAAGCCTAAGATGCAAAATGTAACATGTTAGCCTAGGACTAAGTCCTCTTTAAAAAAAAAAAAAAAGTTTATTTATTTGGCTGCGCCAGGTCTTAGCAGCAGCATGTGGGATCTAGTTCCCTCACCAGGGATTAAACTCAGGCCCCCTTCATTGGTAGCTCAGAGCCTTTAGCCACTGGGCCACCAGGGAAGTCTGAGTCCTCTTTTAAACAGACCAATTATAAGATTTCTGGGCAACAACAAGGGATATGTGAACATGGACTGGATAAGATGACACCAAGGATTTACTGTTTTATTAGTTTTGTTAGAAGTGCTGCTGATGTTGTGGTTATTGGAAGATGTCATTATTTAGAGATAATAATGAAGGATTTGGGCTTCCCAAGTGGCACAGTGGTAAAGAATCCACCTGTCAATGTGGGAGATGTGGGTTCGATCCCTGGGTCGGGAAGATCCCTTGGAGAAGGAAACAGCAATCCACTCCAGTATTCTTGCCTGGGAAATCCCATGGACAGAGAGGCCTGGCAGGCTATAGTCCATGGGATCGTAAAAGGTTGGACACAACCAAGCGACTGAGCACACACATACACTCTGAAGTATTTAGGCATGAAATGTCTTTATGTCTGTAATTTAAAGTACTTCAACAACAATTAAAAACAGGTGAAAGTGAAAGTCACTCAGTCGTGTCTGACTCTTTGTGACTCCATGGACTATAGTCCATGGAATTCTCTAGGCCAGAATATTTCTCTTCTCCAGGGGATGTTCCAAACCCAGGTATCCCACATTGCAGGAAGATTCTTTACCAGCTGAGGCACAAGGGGAACCCAAGAATACTTGAGTGGGTAACCTATCCCTTCTCCAGGGGATTTTCCTGACACAGGAATTGAACTGGGGTCTCTTGCATTGCAGGCGGATGCTTTACCAACTGAGCTACCAGCAAAGCCTGAAAACAGATGAAGAAATGTGGCAAAGTGTTCACTATTAAATTTATGTAATGCATCTGTGGGTGTTCATTCTACTATGCTCTCTGCTTAAAGGAATGTTTTAATATTTTCTTAAAATTAAAAAATTATTAAAATCCCAGAGCAATCATATCAGTCAGTCACTGCTTTATTGTCACTGACAAAGCAACTGATTTTAATTAGCAAATACACTGAACAGAGGACTGCCTGTGATAGCTAATGCTGACATCACACAGCAAGAGAGCCCAATGTGGTTGCTGAGTAGCAAGAAAAAGCCAGCCAGTGCCAATGCCACCGATAATGCTATGTCTTTCACCAAGAACTCGGTTTCTGAGCATAGACTGCCCCCTGAGTGTCTCACAGGTCAACAACAGCAGTCTGCTTTGGGAAACCCTGACGGATGGCAGCTGTTGGTAAACCAAGCACCTGGCGGAAGCAGAAAAGGTCAGCCTTGCAACGCTGACTGGCGTTGCTCCGCCAGGCCTGTAAATTAAGCCACCGACACAGAGCTTCATTTAACCAACCCAGAGCTACCAGAGAAAAACCACATTACCTGCTGCTTAAAAGGTCTGAGGTCCAGAGGGGATGGATGAAGCATCCCCCTTCCTTTTAGGGGACCCGTGAGTAAAAGCATCAAGTCATGAGTTACCTGATGGCAGGGCCCAAGCTTTTCCCCTTTGCACCTTCCCACGAGACCAGGTGGAAAGCAGGTGTAAGTAAGTTTGTTAAGAGAAGGAATGAGCTCTGGGTTTTAGATTTGCACATTTCCACCGTCTTGGGGAAAAAAACCCAAAACACGTCAAAGTACGGCCAAACCTAAGGACCTGGGGAGGTACCATGGTACTGGAGGTACCCACAGACATGGGAATACTTCACCAGGCTCCCAAACCAAAGGCATTATTTTTTTTTACAGACCCTTCTTGCACCTGTCAGGGTCTCTTTCTCTTGGGGTCTTATTTGAAGTTGCTTATAAACTAGATTAGAAATGTCATCACCAGGGTCATGTTTACTCAGTCGACAAACGTGGTCTGAGCAAAAGGACTTCAGCAAACAAATAAGGGGCTGTGGCCTAAGCTGGGTGCTGGGGTATGAACACTGTAAACATCACAGAGAGCGCCAGACTTGGGTAGCAGGAGAGAGTGACAAACAGTAATTAAAGCCCTGCCAGGTTTTGATAAAACAAGCGGCCTCTGGATGGAGCTTGGGGCCTCCATTCTGTCTCTTCCAACCTGACCCTGACCGTCGTGATGACCCTCAGCTCAACTCCTGGAGACTCAGTCCAGAAGGTCCAATGGTCCCTTCTCTCTCGGTCCCCTGACACCCATCATGCTGACCCCTCTAGGTGTCCCACAGTTTTACCTTGGGTGGGCATAACTATCACCCTCTTCCCCTAGACCCTCAGCAGGGTAACATCTACAAGGTAAGGAGTCTAATGGATTCTTTTATTAGGTTTTATTTATTTTTTGGCCATGCTTTGCAGGATGCGGGATCTTGGTTCCCCAACCAGAGATTTAACCTGTACCCCCTGCATTAGAAATACGGAATCTTAACCACTGAACTGCCAGGGAAGTCCCAGAAATTTAATGACTTTCAATACACATTCTCCTGTTTGTTACCCTTTATTGGGCAGGAATTCTTATTCATAGTTTCCTCATAAGAAAATAGAGTCTTAGAGAGGTTAATATTTGCCCATGGTCACATGGCTAGTAAATAATAAACCTGAACTTGAGCCTAGATCTGATTTCTACATGATCATCTACACATCCAGTTACTTTCATGTGCCTACACGAATGCCAGAGACTTGCACAACAGTTGTTAAACATTTATCAATTGGATTTTCCATTTGCAAAGAGAACTGTACTTAAAATAGAATTGTACTCACTTCCTCTTTAAAAGAACATTATAAAAGCTTTAATTCCAAGGCAGGTCATGTGAACCTTTAAGGTAAAGACAAGGCCTGAGGATCAGAAAATCAGATGCTAATGGAGTGAGTGGCCTGGGCAACAGCTCTATCATTGCTAAAAAATTTGTGACTTGTTTTAACGCAATATCTGCTTCATTGAAGTGGTCTGGAACCAAATCCACAGTATCTCCAAGGAATGCCTATGAACAGTAACAGCCTAGAACATCTCAAAAGGATGTCACCTTGAGGTGACAGCGCTACTACACCGGCACACCTTGCTTTATCGTGTTTCACGGATACCGTGTTTCTTACAAATTGAAGCTGGCAGCAACCCTGCACTGAGCAAGTCTATCAGCACCATTTTCCCAACAGCATTTACTCACTTTGTGTCTCTGTGTCACATTTTGGTAACTCTAACAGTATGTCAAACTTTCATGGTGATCTGTGATAACTGATCTTTGTTGTTATTACATTCACTGAAAACTCAGATGACGGTTGGCAGTTTCTAGCCATATAGTACTTTTATTTAAGGTATGGTGGTGGTTTAGTCCCTAAGTCATGTCCGACTCTTGCAACCCCATGGACTGTAGCCTGCCAGACTTCTCTGTCTATGGGATCTCCCAGATTCTCTGTCTATGGCAAGAATACTGGAGTGGTTGCCATTTCCCCCTCTAGGGAATCTTCGCGACTCAGAGATTGAACCCGGGTCTCCTGCATTGCAGGAATACGAATACTCTTTACCAACTGAGCTATGAGGGAAGCCACTATGTATTTAAGGTATATACATTATTATTTTGGACATAATCCTAGTGCACACTTAATGGACTACAGTATAGTGCAAATAAAACTGTTATGTGCACTGGGAAGCTAAAAAATTTGTGACTTGCTTTAACACAATATCTGCTTCTTTGCAGTGGTCTGGAACCAAATCCACAGTATCTCTGAGGGATGCCTGTGAACAGTAACAGCCTAGAACATCTCAAAAAGGGCAAAACAGTACATGTATTCTCGCAGTCAGGATGCACAGTAGTACTATGCACTCACAGCCACTCTGAGGTCCTCTTACTACTGTCAATATACAAATGCAGCACAGATAGGTTTCATAACTGGCCAAGGTCACACTGGGACTGAATACAGGCCACCTGACGCCAGTGCTGGACATTCCAGTGTCCTGTGATTTACCTACTTAACTGCTACCTTAGCTAAGATGCCCAGCTCTAACCCTTATCCTTCTTTCAAATGCAGGCAAATGAACCACTCTGTACTTTGCTTTCTTCATTTGTGAAAAATGAGTAATAATAATGCAATCTCCATGGATCCCTGGAGGATGAGAGATGGGGCTTTGCAATGGGCATTCAACAAAGGGAAGCATACCTTCTCATGGCCTTGATTTGACTTAAAACCACGAACTTAGGACTTCCCTGGTGGTCCAGTGGTTAAGACTCTGTGCTTCCAACGTAGGGGACATGAGTTTGATTCCTGATTGGGGAACTAAGATCCCACATGCCATGAGGGGAAAAAAAGCCACCGATTTTTATTAACAGAGCTCCACAAAAGGGTGAATTCATTCATTCAAAAATATTAACTAGCTATCTCTAGGTACACTGAAATACTTAAGCAGGACTTAGTTCCTGTCTTCAAAGGAATTCTCGGTCTGTAGAGGACTTTATATTCAAATGGGTGATAATCAAAAGAAT